AAGCAATGAGTGATACGCGTAAATCTTAGATAATCATGCTTGCATAAAAAAGAAATGATACCAAGTGAGCTGCTTAAAGAGACCTCGAACTGCTCGAAAATTCAGTCTCAGATGATGACTTTAATGCCACAAGTGCCACTTAATAAACATTTACCCCATAAATTTCATTGGTTGACCTAAATGAAGTCACACGTATATTTCAAACGATTCCCACAGAAGTGTATATGCATTATAAGAACTTAATTGTTTGTCGCGACGAATTAATTGAAAAGAAGTTTAAAGGACTCATAAATTAATCTTGATGATTATAATTGAACTCACTCTATTCGTGCGATTTTTCTGCGTACGGGTTTACTATATATACGAAAGCACAGTTATGTTTCTATGATAAAAAATTTAGCGTTATATAATCGTCATATATCTGCCACGTAAATAACTGTATAATAGTTCGACGTGCAAAAACAAGAATAAAAGTTGAAATAATTTGTTTTGAAATAAATCTCCAAACATTGCACAACGTACGAAATTTATTGATAATTATTTTATATCGTAATTATTTTACGCGATATTATATAATTTTTAAATATCAATCTCATAATTAGCGCACCTCGAGCACTGATGATTTACATATTCATCGTCGTCAATCATAATTTCTGTCAACGGGCGTGTCAATTAAATCCGGACGACGCGCGACGCGATCCATTGTGAGATCTTCCGCCTCGGCCGCGACTTCGTGGCGTTAAAAGAATCGTGCCGGTATCTGGTCTTACGTAAACCATCAGGGTCGTCGAAAAGTCGGGCTGCATGTGAGGAAGTGAGAGAAAAAGAAAAAAAGACCGCAAGAAACCTATAATGTAAACGGATGAGACGAGGGGGGGGGGGCGCCTTCGTCCAAGAGGCGTGTGCGATAAATCGCTTACCTAACTGTGCGAAGTCCGTTTGCAACGGTTTCAGTCCTTTTTCCACATCATTACGTGTTCAGGGTTTGATTAATTATTTCAGGGCGGCAACCTTATCTTGGGATAACCGATAATGTTGCAAAATTACAATCTCGAAATTACAATACAATCGCAACGTCCGCAAAACGATTGGCGAGCTGCAATCGTTCGGCTGACAATTCGCCCACTTAATATTTATTGCTCCTGTCATTATACATTAAATCGATATATTTTATTTCTCTTACATTATTTTATAATTATTAAAAGTATAATATTCGGAAACCTGCGGCCGCTTATAATAATAGGATTTCTCTCCAATGCAATAGGAGAATTTCAGTGCGCAGTGAACCATCACTTTTTCATGAAATTTATTTGACCAGTCTGATCCGAAATAGATTAAAAATGTCAGCGCAATGTTTGTACAGAGTGCGCCTGGTAAAATGATGTGTGACCGTATACCTATCTTATTTAAACTCGATTTTGTTTTTTGTCGAAAGTTTAACTGGAAGCTATCGCATCGAGCATTGATATTCATCTTCGCGGATAAGCGTCTAATTAATTTTTTTCCTCCATGCAAAAACCATCAGCTGCGAATTATTCAACGGTAATTGGACAGTCCGGTGTATTATTGGAAGTGCATAACGTTTTATTTACAAGGCGCGCATTCTAATTTCTTCGTTAATACGCGGATACGGCGATACTCACCGACGGGATACTCTCGCATATACGGTCGTTGCTATCACTCGCGTCGCGCGCCAGCCCGTTTGGACTTCTCGAAAGACTCGTCGAGAGGAGGCCGTTTGCAAGTACTTCTTCTGGTCATCGAACGGCGGGACTACTTGAGGACTGACGACGAGTGAAACGTTAAATGCCGTATCGCCAGGAGGGATCTACTTTTTTGCCACGCCACGCCACGGGACTCACGAGCGATTATTTATATGCTTGCGTAGCCGCGCGCTGAAAGGATATTTACGTTACTTATGCAGTCCAGCACTGGCAATTATCGCCACGATACATCGTCCCGTCTCTCTTTCACCCGTACAATAGGCCGATATCATTTCACGTAGCGGTTGATGAACAACGACGTGATAAGTATACGTCGCAGGATCATACATATCACAAACGCTCGGAGCTCATATTAAAAATCCGCTCGGAGATTACGCGCGTACGTTTTTTTTTGTGCATATTTTTGAAATAATTCAACTTTGATTACTTTTTAATGCGCGTATAAATTAATAAGTGTTTATTTATATTCGTGAATCTGTGAAATATGTATTCCTTAATAAATATACGAAATCGAGGAAGAAACTTGAGCGAGCTTTTAATTACAAAGTTAGTTAATAATGAAAGTCAAATTATTGTAATAAAATATCAGAATCTCTGAGACGCGGTTAAGTAACGAGATCTTGTTATTGGGCTATATTGCTTTAATTCATAACTAAATCTCGCATCTCGCAGCAGATAGCGATAACGAAATTAAGTAGAGCCGACTCCGAATAATTCATATAGTAATATTAAACGTTGTGTGCTGTATCACTCTGCGCGATCGTCAAAACCTGTTTGTACGGCGTACATATAAGTTAATGGGTTAATCGCGGCAGCGTCCGAGCCTTCGATATCTATCTACTTATCGTCGCGATTGTATCGCGCGGACGCGATAAACGGCCGCTTCCTATATTCCGTGTACCTATTCCGGCGGCTTTCTGGGAAGAGGCCAGGAGTTCGTGCGGCGCGCGTGGCGGCTTACTCATTGCGGACAATTAAGTGTCTGGGCGAAGGCAGAGAGTCTCGCCATCGCGAGGCTTTCTCGCGTCTACGGGAGAGGCCGTAAATAGATATGGACGAGAGAGGAGGAGGAGGAGGCTCTCGAAGAGGCGCGCGTAAAACATCTACTTAGGTCTACGAGGGTGCGTGCCTTTAATTAAAGCCGGGGATCCTCCCCCGTGAACAATTAAGCCGCGCGCTTTTTGTGTAAACGCTCCGCGGAATCAATGACGTTGCGAGAAGAGCATCGCGCGATGTCTCTATATTTCGCATCCTGACCCACATTTCGATTACTAATAATTTACGCCGCGCGGGAGACAATTTCTAGCTCGGAGGCGATTATCTTTTAACGCAAATTTTTTCGATATTATCTTGAAAATTTATCCATTTTCTAATAATACTTGAACTATGCAAATATCGAATTGTACTTATTG